GTCTCAAAGCGCTTCATAGATTATACCATGAAGTGAATTAACTCTGCATTTTCGAGAACATCTTGTAACATTCAGGTCAGCAACAGTGGAAGCAACATCACTGAGCTGAGATCATACGTTCAGCTAATGGCAACATATGGACGTTAGTGCTGCAGAAACACTGCCTGACTCAGGTGTGGGGAGGAGTTGGGAAGCTGTGAAATTTTGGTTGACTTTGAGGCGTCTTTTCTTTTATTGTTAAAATCACTCCTCTCTGTAGAGGGTGTTCACAAAGTCCTGTTACCCCCCTGTGTTTTTTTTCTTACAATGAATTTTTATTTTCTGTTGCTGAGGAGTCAAGTGTAACGATCACTGTCTGATGAGATCAGTAATTTCCTCGTCACTCCATCCAAGATGCAGAAGATGTCGCACTGAACATGGTGACAGAAAATGAAAAAAAGTTTCAGTTGTTGGTCACTGTGTGTAAAAAGAGGGTGTAACAGGACTCTGTGAACAAGGCTACAGCACTTTTATTATAATCCTGCCCTAAACAGAAGCTGTTCAAAGGTCATTTTGCTCATTTGAAAGCACTCTTGCTTCTGAATCAGAAAGTTGCAGGTTCAAGTAACAACATTAGGACTTTGAGCTTAGTTTAGGCTGAAGCACCAAGTGTAGTAGTTAATCCTTGCTGCTGACATAGCTTCCTTCACTTCGGGAGTATATTTCAAAATGCTTCACAGTATTTATAATAATAATAATCCTTGGATTTGATGTCTTAAAGCGCTTCGCAGAATATACTGTGAAGCAAACTGACTGCATATTTTGTGGGCGAAACGCGCTCTGTGAAGTATACCGACTGTTTTGTAGGCAAACGCAGTGGCCAATTTGCACGTAGCACAATGATCCGCAAATATGTCATTCAATGAATGATCAATTTTACGTGGTGACTGTTGGCCTGGGCACTGGGAGAAGCTCCCTTGTCTTGTCTTTCAAACAGTGAATGGGATCGTCACCTTTCACCTGAACACACAGGTGGGACCATGGTTTAAGGTCTCATCTGAAGGACGGCACCTCCAACAAATGCTGCAGTGTAGGATATCCCGCAAAGAGTTAAAGGATAATAAAGAGCCAATGAGACAAAGTCAGAAAGTACAAAAGGAACCCTGGGCCTGCAGTGGAACAAAGCGCTGTGGTTTGTGGACTGGAGTGCTCTGAGAGTTAAGAATAAAGAAATGTATTAATGCACCCATGCTTTGGATTGAATGTCATGACAACCACAACCACAACAACAACTTGCATTTACACAGCGCCCCTCACGCAGGGTAGCGTCCCAGAGCACTCGACAATGGCGCAGCATGAAGCCGATCCGCCAATTGACTAACCACTGGGTTCCTACTCACTGCCGGATAAACAGAGGCTTGTGGGGTAAGCAAACTCACCTAAGGTTTCTTCCTGCCCAGGAATTGAACCAGGGTCCTCTCTCTTGCGAAGTGAGTGCTCTAATCAATACGCTACAGACTCCAGAACACTAGTTAACAGTAATATACCTTATAACTGCACCTTATAATGCTGAAAGTCCATTTTGGAAGTTTTCCTTAGACAGACTATTTGATAGGGTTGCCCACAGCACAGAAAGAACTTTGGTCAACGTGACAAATGACCTTTTGTCCATCAGCGACCAGGGCTCCTTCTGCCTCCTCGTCCTCCTTGACCTCTCTGCTGCCTTCGATAACGTTGACCACTCTATCCTCTTCCTTCATGGTTCTGTCCATGACCCATTCAGATTGTACCTCTCACACCACTCCCCGGCCCTTTCCCCATAACCTGCAAACCCGTCCTCCTCAAATATCCGTCCACCGCGTTTTTAAAAGTTGTTATCGAATCGGCCTCGACTTCCCTTTCAGGCGATGCGATCCAGTTTCGAACAACTCGCTGCGTGAAGAAATTTCTTCTCACCTCCCCTCGGCTTCTTTTACAGATTATTTTGAATCTGTGACCTCGAGTCACCGACACTCCCACCAGTGGAACAGTTTTTCCCTTTCTAACCTATCAAATCCCCTCATGATTTTGAAGTCCTCTATTAGGTCTCCTCGTAACCTTCTCTGCTCCAATGAGAATAATCCCGGCCTCTCCAGCCTTTCCTCATTACCAAGGTCCCTCATTCCTGGTACCATCCTCGTAAATCTCCTCTGCGTCCTTTCCAATGCCTTAACATCCTTCCTATAGTATGGTGCCCTGAACTGGGCGCAGTATTCTAACTGAGGCCTAACCAGTGTTTATATGGGTTAATCATAACCTCCTGACTCTTGCAGTCGGCTGCTATCCTTCTCACTGTTTACCCCCTCCCTAACTTGGAAATGGTACTTGCTATACCCAAATCCAGATCATTTATGTATATTAAGAAGAGCAGTGGTCCTAATACCGATCCCTGGGGGACACCACTGTACACTTCCCTCCAGTCAGAAAAGCAGCCGTTCACCACAACTCTCTTCTTTCTGTCTCCCAGCCAGTTTGGGATCCGCTGCCACTGTCCCTTTTATACCATGGGCTTCTATCTTTCTTACAAGTCTTTCATGTGGCACTTTGTCAAATGCCTTTTGAAAGTCCATATGAACTACATCTACTGCTCTACCTTCATCCACCCTCTCCATTACCTCATCGAAAAATTCTATTAGATTTGTTGGACAAGATTTGCCTTTAACAACTCCGTGCGGCTGTCCCTAATTAACCCATATTCATCTAAGTGAAGATTTATTCTGTCCCGGATTATAGCCTCCAGGAGTTTCCCCACTACTGATGTTAGGCTGACTGGCCTGTAGTTCCCAGGTGTGTCCTTCTGTCCCTTTTTGTACCGGGGAGTAACATTGGCCACTCTCCAGTCCTCTGGCACCTTCCCGATGTCCAACGAAGATTGAAAAACTGCTATTTGTACCCGTCCCTCCCATAGTAACCTCGGCTGCATCCCGTCTGGACCAGGCGACTCATCACCTTCAGCGCAGTCAGCCTTTTCAGTACTTCCTCTCTTGTTTATACCTATCCTACCCATTTCCTCTACCCTCTCCTCCGATACTGCGGCATTTGGTGCATCCACTTCCTTTGTGAAGACAGATGCAAAGTACCCATCTGTGTGATTGGAAGCCAGAGGAGTCGGGCAAGGATGCGGGTGATAGGTCGCGGAGCCTGGTGCGGGAGAGGACACGGGCTGTAAAGTTCTGGATGATCTGCAGCGGGGGGGAGAGGGGAGTTGGGGAGGCCGACAAGCAGTGAGTTTGCAATAACATTACCCAACTTGGCCACTGTCTCACAGACAGGCCACTGAGACCCTCATACACACATTCATAACATTCAAGCTTTACTGTTGCAAACTTGTCGGCCCCCCAACTCCTCCCTCCACAGGCTGCAGATCATCCAGAACTTTGCAGCCCATGTCCTCTCCTGCACAAGGCTCCGTGACACTATATTAATAATAATAATAATAATAATCCTTGCATTTGATATAGCGCTTTTCACGTGTTATAGACGTCTCAAAGCGCTTCACAGAACACACTGTAAAGTGAATTGACTGTATATTTGTGGGCGAACGCGGCAGCCAATTGCGCACAGCAATGTCCCACAAACAGTCATAGATTGAAAATGACCAATTTATTATTGTTTTATGTTTTGGAGGTATTATTATTAGGCTCTGTGTGGAGTAAGGAAACTTGCCCAAGGTTTCGCCCTCTGCCGGGGATTGAACTCAGGTCTCTCGCTTGCAAAGCGAGTGCTCTAACCACTGAGCTACAGGACTATCACCCCCATCCTCGCCCAACTCCACTGGCTTCCCACCACCACGCAGAGGATACAGTTCAAGATCCTAGTCCTCCCTCAAAGCCCTCCATGGCCTCATTCCCCCCTACCTCTGCCACCTCCTACCGATCTGCCCGCTCCCTCCGCTCAGTGGGCTCCGGCCTGCTTCACATTCCCCCACTCGCCCGCCTTCTGCCACTCTGCCCCCACCTTCTGGAACTCCATCCTCCACCTCGCCCCCTTCCTCGCCTCCTTCAAGACCCGTCTCAAGACCCTCCTCTTCAACCATGCTTTCGATCACCCTCCTTCACCCCCCCCCACCACCCTCCCCGATCCCGACCTCCAGCTTGGGTCCAAAACACTGACTGTCCAGCGCCTTGGGCCATCCCCCAAAGTGAAAGGTGCTATACAAATGTAATTTTGTTGTTGTTGTTCAAGATGATACGTATATTTAAAACATTTCTGGCAGGGTGAAATGTTGGACAAGTTTCCTTTCTCCATACGCTTCTGTTTACCTAGCAGTAAGTACAAACCCAGTTGTTGGTCGATTAGTAGATCGCTTTTCTGGGGGGAATAATTCCTTTAAAATGTTTTTAAAAAATAATAATAAATTGGTCACTTCAATCCACAACTGTTTGTGGGCACTGCTGGCTGCCGTGTTTCTCCTACAAAAATATAGTCAATTTACTTTGCAGTATATTCTATGAAGCGCTTTGAGACACCTAGAAGATGCGATAAGGCGCTATAATAAATGCAAGGATTATTATTCATGGAATTGATAAGTTATAGAGGCTTGATTTGTATCTTGTTTTGTTGAATTTTTTTTTAATGTTGGGTAAATTTTCCATTTTAACAGAACAATAGGTTCAATTGTCATAGCCTTACAATGCAAGCCTAAGGAAATGACAAGAACTTGCATGTATATGTATCTCCCCTCATGCAGGGTAGTGTCCCAGAGCGCTTGATCATAGTGGAGCAGGACACCGAGCTAGGGGCAGAGGGGGGATAACTATAGGCACAGTTGAAGAGGAAGGTCTTCAGGTGCGACCTGAAGATGGTGAGGGAGGGGACAAGGTGGAGGGATAGAGGAAGAGTGCTCCAAAGTTTCGGGGCACAGTGGCTGAAAGTGCAACCGAGTTAGTCTCCGCAGCCTGTCTACAAAAGAATGCATTGCTCAAAGTTCAAAGAACAACAATAAATAAGATTTCAGAATTGAATGATTAGAGGTTCTGATATGTAGTGGTTTCCAGTCTTTAATAAGGAAAATGGAAATGCATCATATTTAAAAGCCGTCATATCATCAGAAAGCACAACACTTTGCGAGACAATTTTTAGGTGGACAGCAGTTTAAAAATTCAGGAATTCATCCTTGGAAACCAGCCAAATCCATTGACATAAAGAAAAATGACAAAACAAATCATTGGAAGTGACATCTTCACAGTTCGGCAGCTTTCAGTCTAAGCTGCGCTGTTCATGAGAGTCTGCAAGTTTCCGTAAGGGTTGTTAGTGTTAGCACAGGGTTCTTGTTTGTCCTCTGGCATTAGTTTGTTCTCCTCGGAGGGATACTTCCAAAGCTGCTCAGGATTTGCGCTCATATCGTCGTTTTTCTTGCTGGACTCTTTCTTGAAGTCTGAAACAATGCTAAGTTTGTCAAAGAATTCTTCCTCCGAGTTCTGGCTGTCGGGTAGCATTAGTAGAGAACTCAGCGACATCTTCTGTTGCAGGCATTGATAAAAGAAAAATTGTGCGTTTAGTGTGACAATCTGAATTTATATAGCATGTAGGATAATAATAATAATTCTTGGATTTGATACAGCGCCTTATCAGGTCTTCGAGACATCTCAAAACACTTCACAGAACATACTGCAAAGTGAATTGACTGTATATTTTATGGTTGAAACGCAGAAGCCAATTGCGCACAGCAGTGTCCCACAAACAGTCATGGATTGTGTGACCAATGATTATTAATATCTTTTATATGTATATATATATCTAAGGGATTGTTACCCTCAGAAAAGCGATCCACCAATATAGAGTAAGGAACAGTACTGCTAGGTGTGGGGTAAAGAAACTTGCGCCCTGCCCAGGAATTGAACCCAGGTCCTCTCATTTGTGAGGCAAGTGATCTAACCACTGAGCTACAGGGCTCCAGGGTAGAGAGTGGGAGATACTGAAAGTAAAATGGAGGGAGTTTTCAGAGGTTAGGAGCTTATAACTGAAAGCTCAGCTATCAGTGGTGATGCAAATAGTGCTAGTTATTCACAAATCAATGAAGACAGCACTTCCTTGTAGAACATCCTGTTCTGCCACCTCAATATCATTGAAGTTTCTCTGGATCCATTGGGACTAGTACAATAAATGGGAGGAGGTTTATAGATGTAAGTACAACAGAGAGTGATTCACCAGTACTCAATAAACACACCTATATTGGCAGTAACAAAAGTAGCATATTTGCTTTCTCATTGGGACCTTGAATGGATCAACTATTAGCCGGTTTTGCAATATGCATGCAATCCATTTAGATAGGAAAACATATGACATTTTGCAATACGCAGACTGGTTGAAGCAAGACTTACAGTCCACAACTCTATGATGTGATCAGTGACCAGCTGTCCCTTTTGCGAAATGCCTGCAATTGGCGTGTATTCCATTTAGAATCATATCCACAGAAGGCCGATCAGCCCATCGTGTCTGTGTCGGCTCTTTGAAAGAGCTCTGTTCAAATCAAGCCCATTCCCCTGCTCTTTTCCCCATAGCCCTGCAAATTTGTCCTCCCCAAATATCTATCTACTTCTATTTTGAAAGGTGTTATCGAATCGGCTTCCACCACTCTTTCAGGCAATTCATTCCAGATCCCAACAACTCGCTGTGTGAAAATATTTCTCCTCCCCTCCCCTTTGTTTCTTTTAACAACTATTTTAAATCTGTGCCCTCGGATTACCGACCCACCCGCCACTAGAAATAGTTTTTCCCTGTTCACTCTATCAAATCCCCTCATAATTCTGAACATCTCTATTAAATCTCTATTTAACCTTCTCTGCCCCAAGGAGAATAATCCTAGCTTCTGTAGCCCCTTTCATAACTGAAGTCCCTCATTCCTGTTACCATCCTGGTCAATCTCCTTTGCACCCTCTCCAATGCCTTGAAATCCTTCCTATAGTGTGGTGCCCAGAACTGAACACAGGCCTAGTGTTTTATAAAGGTTCATCATAACCTACTTACTCTTGTATTCTATTTATAAATCCCATATGCTTTTTTAACAGCTTTAACTACCTGTCCTGCCACCTTCAAAGATTTACTTATATGAACCCCCAGGTCTGATTCCTCACCCTTTTAAGATTCTACCATCAGCTTATATTGCTTCTAACTCATTCTTCCTCACAAAATGCATTACTTTGCATTTTTCCGCATTAAACTTTTTCTGCCACGTGTCTGCCCATTTCACCAGTCTGTCTGTGTCCATCTGCTACTATCCTCCTCACTGTTTACTACTTTTCCTAGCTTAGTATCATCTGCAAACTTGGAAATTGTACTCTCTATATCCACGTCCAGGTCATTTATACAGATCAAAAACAGCAGTGGTCCCACTACGACACCACTGCACACTTCCCTCCAGTTAGAGAAACAACCGTTCACCACCATTCTCTGGTTGCTGTCTCCCAGCAGTTCTGGGTTTCAATTTTTCTACCAAGAAATGGTAGAATTATGTGGCACTTCATCAAACGCCTTTTGAAAATCCATATAAACGACATCAACTGCACCACCTTTTTCTTAGACACAATTTACCTTTAACAAATCTGTGTTGATTGTCCTTTATTAACCCATACTTTTTCTAATTGAAAATTTATTTTGTCCCCGATTATAGTCTCTGGAAGTTTCCCCACTATTGACGTGAGGCTGACTGGCCGCAGTTCCTGGGTTTATCCTTCTCCCCCTTTTCGCACAGGGGAGTAATATTTGCAACCCTCCAGTCCTCTGGTACCACCAATCCAAGGAGGATTGACAGACCAATAGCCAGAGCTTTTGCTATTTCCAACCTTACTTCCCTCAGTAACCTACGATGAATCCCATCCTGACTGGGTCACTTATCTATCTTGAGCACCTACAACCTTTTTAGTCCCTCGTCTCCAATTTCTCTACCTTCTCCTCCAATACTGTGGCATTGGCTGCATCCTCTTGTTTTGTGAAGAATGCAAAGTACTCATTCAGTATGTCAGCCCTGCCCTCTGCCTCCACAAGAAGATTTCCTCTTTGGTCCCTAATTGGACCCACCCTACCTTTGACTAACCTTTTATTCTTTAGATGATTTACAATACGTGGACTTTGATTACAATGAGGATCATAGTACGCACCTCTTTGATGTGTTCAGGGAGGCTGTAGGACGGGTAGAAGGCATATCTGATAGTTCTGTAGCTGCAAATGACTGTACTGAACACTCCCATCACCATTATGAAGACAACCGCAAGTGATATCAGAAGTACTACCATGGTCATCCACAGCGGAATTTTATCTGGAAAGACAGATGCAGAAGAACATTTGTAAATATCAATGTATTAGTCCATGCACAATATGAAACCCACTCCACCCCTCCCACCCCCCCACCACCACCAAAAAAACTCTAAAGGACGAAATTACCAAGATAAAACTGGTGCAGTTTTTTTTTATCTATGTTGCATTATTTCTTAACCCTTTCAGGCAATGCATTCCAGATCCCAACAACTCGCTGTGTGAAAACATTTCTCCTCACCTCCCCTCTGTTTCTTTTAATAACTGTTTTAAATCGGTGTCCTCGGGTTACCGACCCACCCGCCAGTGGAAATAGTTTCTCCTTGTTCACCCTATCGAATCCCCTCATATTTTGAAAATTTCTATTAAGTCTCCTCTTAAACTTCTCTGCCCCAAGGAGAATAATCCGAGCTTCTCCAGCCTCTCCTGATAACTGAAATCCCTCATTCCTGGTACCATTCTGGTCAAATGCTCCTTCCTAAAGTGTAGTGCCCAGAACTGAACACAGTCTCTAGCTGAGGCCTAACCAGTGTTTATAAAGATTTATCACAACTTCCTGACTTTTGTATTCTGTTCCCCTATTTAAATGCCCAGTATCCTGTATGCTTTTTTTTTAAAAACAGTTTTATCTACCTGTCCTCCCACCTTCAAAGATTTACTTAGAACCCCAGGTCTCTCTGTTCCTTCACCCCTTTAAGATTGTACCATCAGCTTATATCGCCTCTCCTCATTCTTCCTCACAAAATTCATCACTTTGCATTTCTCCACATTAAACTTCATCTGCCACGTGTCTGCCCATGTTACCAGTCTGTCTATGGCCATTTGCAGTCTGCTACTGTCCTCCTCACTGTTTACTACTTTTCCAGCTTAGCATCATCTCCAAACTTGGAAATTGTACTCCTTATACCCAAGTCCAGGTCATTTATATACATCACAAACAGCAGTGGTCCCAACTGACCCCTGAAGAACAGTAACCTAGGATGCATCCTGTCCCGACCAGGTAACTTATCTAACCCCTTGAGCACCGTCAACCTTCTTAGTGATCTCTTGGGTTATTCTGAGAATCCATATTGATATCTACCAATAACAATTTGTGCTTGTAAAGCGCCTCTTACACATGTCTTAAAGCACTTTATTAATAATAATAGTCCTTGCATTTGATATGGCAGCTTATCAAATCTTCGAGATGTCTCAAAGTGCTTCACAGAATATACTGTAAAGTGAAGTGGCTGTATATTTTGTGGGCAAAACACGGCAGCCAATTGCATATAGCAGTGTCTCATAAACAGTCGTGGATTGGGTGATCAAATTATTATTTTTGATTAATTTTTTTTTATTATCCTCAGAAAAGGAATTATTACCACCAGATAAACAATCCACCAATCTACTAACAACCGGGTTCCTACTTACTACTAAGTAAACATTGGCATGTGGAGCAGAGTAAGGAAGCTTGCCCTGCCCGGGAATCAAACCCAGGTCAATATATTAGAATATATTAGAACGTACAGCACAGAAACAGTCATTTGGCCCAACTGGTCTATGTCGGTGTTCATGCTCCACATGAGCCTCCTCCTGCCCTTCTTCAACTAAGCCTTCAAGCATAACCTTCTATTCCTTTATCCCTTATGTACCTATCTAGCTTCCCCTTAAATACATCTGTGCTATTTACCTCAACAACTCCTTGTGGTAGTATGTTCCACATTCCCACTACTCGCTGTGTGAGGAAATTTCTTCTAACTTCCTTTTTGATCTATGTGTGACTATTTTATATTGATGGCCCCTAGTTTGGTCTCCCCCACAGTGGAAACATCTTCCCTATGTCTACCCTATCAAAACCTTAAAATCGTTCCTCTCGCTTGCTCTAACCACTGAGCCACAGGACACCACCAGGTGGCAGGAGGCATGACTTCACACAGCTTGGAGCGTCCTGGTTAATTGAAATGTCTTTCAGCTGGGATTTTGCAGAAATGTCTCATTGTGGTATGAGTTTAACAGGCGTCTTGTTCCACAGATAAGGAAATGAAACACAATATGTGGAGGGAAGTGACACTAAGACCTGCCTGATATTCATTTTAGGGCTATTAATAACCGTATTTTATTCTTTAGTGGAACACAATTCAAGTGCGGTCCAAATCACTTGCTGAGGGTGCCATTGGAAAGCATCAATGCAAACAGCATGGTTTAAAAATGACTCCCAGATAGTTTCAGTTGTGGAACTCCAACAAATCTTGTGCTAACTCCACCCAGATTTAGCTGCACTTTTCAACAACAAACTACACTTAGGCAGTGCCTTCATGGCGGAAATATTTCAAAGTGATTTTCAACAACAACAACTTGCATTTATATAGCGCCTTTCACACAGGGTAACATTTCGGAATCGCTTAACAGTGGTGGAGCACGATGGCTGAGTCAGGGGCAAAGAGGAGGTGACTGTAAAGCGGTTGAAGAGGAAGGTGCGCCTGAGCTGGGAGTGTACTTCATTCTGACATGGCGTATCCCCAAATAGAAAAGCTATGCCTTCCTCAGCGGTGGCAACCTTAATAATAATATAATACACTACAAAGTTACATTTGTAAAGCGCCTTTCACATCAGGAGGACATCCCAAGGCACTGCGGATAATAAATAATCCTTGCATTTGATATAGTGTTATATCACGTCTTCGAGACGTCTCAATGCGCTTCACAGAGTATACTGTAAAGTGAATTGATTATATATTTTGTGACTGCAACGCAGCAGCTAATTACCCACAGCAGCGTCCACAAACAGTTGTGATTTGAGTGACCAAATTATTATTATTATTTTTTGAAGGGATTATTACCCCCAGAAAAAGCGATCCGCCAATCGACTAACCACCAGGTTCCTACTTACTGCTAGGTAAACAACAACATTTATAGAGCGCCTTTCAAGTCGGGAGGGCTGGACAGTCTTTGACAGGAGTCAGGACCCGAGCATGGGTGGTGTAGGGGTGAGGGAAGGCAGAGAGGTAGGAGGGCGACCGAAGGCACGATCGAAGAGAAGGGTCCTGAGACCGGCCTTGAAGGAGGTGAGGGAGGAAGTGAGGCAAAGGGACTGTGGGATGGAGTTCCAGAGTGTGGGGGCAGAGAGGCTGAAAGCTCGGCCACCGATGGTGAGGCGGGTCGAGCGGGAGACATGGAGCAGGCCAGAGCCTGATGAACGGAGGGAGCGGGCAGGTTGGTAGGGAGTCAGCAGGTCAGAGAGGTAGGAGGGGGCGAGGCCATGGATGGCCTTGAAAATGAAGACGAGGATCTTGAACTCGATCCTCTGGGGGATGGGGAGCCAGTGGAGTTGGGCGAGGGTGGGAGTGATGGGAGCCCTGGTGCGCGAAAGCACACGAGCTGCAGAGTTTTGGATGATCTGCAGTTTGTGAAGGGAAGAGTTGGGAAGGCCGATGAGGAGGGAATTTCCATAATCGAGCCTTGATGTGATGAATGTGAGGGTGAGGGTTTGGGCAGCCTGAGGGGTGAGGCAGTGGCGGAGTCTGGCAATGTTGCGGTGGTGGTGGTAGGCAGTGCCGGTCATGGCGCGGATGTGGGGGAGAAAGGACAGTTCAGTGTCAAACAAGACACCCGGGTTCCTGACTGGTTTAGTGAGGTTGAGTGGCAGCCGTGGAGGCTGATGCTGCCAGCGCCCGAGGTGTGGAGGTGCTGGCGTGAGCCGATCAGGAGGGCCTCGGTCTTGCTGATGTTGAGTTGGAGAAAGTTGTCCCTCGTCCAGGACTTGATGTCGGACAGGCAGTTGGTCAGGACACCAGTAGTCCCGAAGTTCAGGGTGGAAGCAGAGAGATTGAGTTGGGTATTTGAGGTGGAAATTTACCCCATGTCTGCGGATGATGTCACCAAGGGGGAGCATGTAGAGGGTGAAGAGGAGGGGACCGAGGACAGAGTCCTGAGGAACACCACACAGAATTAAAGGCAGCGGAGAGGTCGAGGAGGATGAGGAGGCAGAGGGAGTCCCGGTCACACATGGTCAGGATGTCGTTTGTGACCTTGACCAGAGTGCTGTGAGCAGCACGGAAACCTGATTGGAGGGGTTCATGGAGGGAGTGGGAGGAGAGGAAAGCGAAGCTGGGAGGCAACGGCTCTCTCAAGGACCTTAGACATAAAACGAAGGTGGGAGATGGGCCGGGAGCTGATAGTTATGTTGTGTCAAGGGAAGGTTTCTTCCGGTGGGGGTGATAGTGGCTGTTTTGAGGGGAGGTAGGAACAGTTCAGATGACAGGAGAGGTTGATGATGTCGGTGAGCAGTGGGGCAAGAAGGTGGAGCTGGGATTTAAGGAGAGGGGTGGGGATAGGGTACAGGGAGAGATGGTGGGCTTCATGGAGGATACGGTGGTGATGATAGAGGAGGGGGTGACAGGTTCAAAGGTGTGGAAGGAGGGATGGGTAGTGGTCGGAGTGTGGGGTGTGGTTAGGGAGGGGGTGGAAGTTGGGACGGCAATGGCAGCTGAGTGGATTCCCTTGATTTTGAACTTGAGGAAATCCAGCATTTCCTCGCAGTGAGAATCAGAGAAAAGAATCTGCGAGGGTATCGGGGAGGACGGAGGAGCCGGTTGGTGATGGAGAACAGGAGCCTGGGTTTTGCGCTTCACCTCCAGGATTAACCTGGAATAGAAGGATGATTTGGCTGAGGTGAGAGCGGAGCGGGAGGTTTTGATGTGCCGGTGGACCTTTAGGCCAGATTTAAGCCAAGTACGTTGGCTCAACAGAGGGATCTGGAGTAAGAAAACTTGCCTAAGGTTTCGCCCTATCCGGGAATCGAACCCTCGCTTGCGAGGCGAGCGCTCTAACCAATAGACACAAGTTAAAAGGTAATATACAACATGGCGAGCTAAGAAGAATGTTAGTGTCAGAATTGAGTAATACCATCATCCATTGTGGTTGCACACACTATTCGACTGGGGAGTCCTGTGATATTTGTTTCTTTGTCAATACATGAAACTTGCAGGCAGTACTCAGTCCGGGGCTCAAGATTATTGAGCCTCTTCATCGGCGCTTCAGCAACAACGTTTAGGATCTGTGTGGAATTTCAGTGAGTTTATCAATCAAAGATAGACATAGGACAAATAATAATCCTTGCACCTTATCATGTCATTCGGACATCTCAAAGCGCTTCACGGAATATACGTTAAAGTGGATTGACTGTGTATTTTGTGGGCGAAACGCGGCAGCTAATTGCGCACAGCAATATCCCACAAACAGTTGTGGATTGAGCGACCAAATTTTTTTTGTTAGGGATTATTATGTTCCGCCAATTGACTAACAACTGGTTTCCTACTTACTGCTGGTTAATAGAGGTGTGTGGAATAAGGAAATTTGCCTCAGGCTTCGCCCTGCCTTGGAATTGAACCTGGGTCCTCTCACTTGTGTATGAGCGCACTAACCACTACGCTGTAGGATTCCACAAATAAACCAATTCATCTTATACTTCACTTGGGAGAGGGAATGGGAATACTTCCAATTTTTCCTTGTACCAAGATTTAGGAACAATAGGGTTAAAGGATACAAGTTAAATGGCAACCTACGGCAGGTAACACTACCACACTGTTTTATTTTGTAACAGTCGATTACTGGTTACCATTTACACAATAAAACTAATTGTGCATTTATTTACAGATAGTAATCATAATTATTCTTGCATTTAATATAGCGCCTTATCACATTGTTGAGATGTCTCAAAGCGCTTCACAGAATACAGTGTAAAGTGAATTGACTGTATTTTGTGGGCAAGATCACTGCAGCCTTTTATAATATCACAAGAGAGGTACAAATGAAGAAGATATATCAGCCCATGATCTCAACCTTCCAGAATATCTTCCACTTTCCCTTTGTGTAAAGGAAATATTTCCTGAATCAGCACCCACCCACCGCCAATTTTGCTGCTATAACATTTCTGAAAGCCGTATTTTGGGTTTATTCTTCTCCATCCCATTGAGCATCTTAATCTGTCTTTGTTAAACCAAGGCCCCTGTTTAGGTAGGCGTTAAAGCGTTAAAGTGGGCATCTGCCTGTTCAGGTGGATGTTAAAGATCCTGCGGCACTATTTGAAAAGAGAAGGGAGTTTCTCTCCCGATGTCCTGGCCAACAATCCCCAAGATAAAATTGGTCATTCATTTCATGGCTGTTTGTTCGACATTGCTGTGCGCAAATCGTCTGCCGCGCTTTGCCCACAAAACACACAGTCATGAAGCATTTTGGGATGTCCTCCTGACTTGAAAGGAGCCACACTGAATGAAAGGTTTATTCTTATATACGATTCCCCTTGAGCAAGTAACTACGCCACTGAACTGCACATCAGTAATAATAATAATCCTTGCATTTGATATAGCGCTTTTCACGTCTTTGAGACGTCTCAAAGCGCTTCACAAAATAGACTGTAAAGTGAAGTGACTGTATATTTGTGGGTGAAACGTGGCAGCCAATTGCGCACAACAGTGTCCCACAAACAGTCATGGATTGAGTGACCAAATTATTATTGTTTTTTTGAGGGTTTATTATCCCAAGAAAAGAAATCCAATTGACTAACAACCGAGTTCCTACATACTGCTAGATAAACAGAGATGTGTGGAGTACGGAAACTTGCCCAACATTTTGCCCTGCCCCTGAAGCTTGCAAGGTGAGTAACCACTGAGCTACAGGACTCCACTGACTCAAATACCAATCGACTCAAATAACGACTTAAATGGGCAAATAAGTGGGGAAGCTGCCCTTGGAACTGAATGAAACAAGCTCCTTTTGTATTTTCCAGGCAAGCCACACATACCTTTTTTGGGTCAGTATTTTTCCAGTAGGATATCTTGAAAGCCATTGATGTATAGTAGCTGCGCATCGTCCGTTGAGAATTCTCCTTCATCGGTTCAGCAAAGAGGACATCAAGCATATCCAACTTTACTTTTACATTGAAGTTTGGGGGAGGTCCGATCAAGGCTGCATATAAACGACACGCAACATTGATGACATGTTTCATGGGAATTGCTAATCTGAAGATAAATGATTAATTAAAACATTTATTTTCTGAAAAAAAAGCATCAGCCTTACTGTCTCGGAAAGGTTGAAAGTCTTCGACAGCTGCCCACTTAGATGTCCTGCTCTTACATTTAGCTCTTACGTGTAACCAATAACTGATCTCGTCGGCCAGTGCGTTTGACAAGTCACATTGTGTGGTGTTGATGTTAGTGCAGCTTTTTTCAAAGGGTTCATCCTTTTCATAAAAATGGGAGTAGGAGCTGTAAGAAAATTAACAAGGAAGCTAGTCAGTCACTTTTAGCTACATCTATACCAATAAAGACAAAATGTCTGTCTAACTAATTGATGTAGAGACACCGACAGGAGTCCTTCCACTGAGGCTTCCCACTGAGGCCTTCCAACAGGAGTTCTCCCAACAGGAGTCCTCCCACTCAGTCTTTCCACTAGAGTCCCCCAAAAACGATATGTGTGCAAATATGTGAACAAGGGATGAGTTCAATAGCACATTTTCTTAATCTTAAGGGTTAACAATGCCTAAGAAGCAAAAATCAAGCCTTTCAAGGACAAATAAAAATGCCAGACAGAAGAGAGAAGGCCGATTAAATGAAACCGTTTGCAAGCTTAGCTGCAACAGGTACAGCTAGTTTATAATAATAATAATCCTTGCATTTGATACAGATCCTGATCATGTTTTTGAGAGCGTCTCAAAGCACTTCACAGAATATACTGTCAAGTGGATTTGGACTTGGATCCAACGTGCCGGTGTTTACACTCCATACAAAAGCTAATACTCTCCGGAATTGGGTAAGCAGGATGCGTCCCCCCAGGGAGAGAGAAAGAGAGAGAGAGAGAGAGAGAGAGAGAGAGAGAAAGAGAGAGCGCATATTCCATTCCAATAATCTATCTCTGGGATTTCCATGTGTAGGTGGGATGTGTGGGATTCTCAGTTTAGTTTAGATAATCTTAAGCACGGTGATGGGTTTCTACACGTGTCAGACACCTGGCTGACAAAAACAAATATCTTCTATAAAAGAAAGCTAAGAAGGTGAAGCACCAAGTCACTTCAGTGGCTTACCTTTGATACCCAACTGAATAGGAGATATTCCCTTTGCGGCAAACAACTGGGTCCCACTGAAGCACGTGCTTGAAGTTGACCGAGTGTATTTTCACATTTTGTGGTTTAGGGACCTGCCCGAAAACTGTATTGGCAGAAAAGAGAAAGATTGAAACCCATCTCCTGAGTACAGGGTAATTTTGGATTTAATGCTCTATAATAACATAAGAATTGCTAGCTGAAAGAAAGCCAAGGTCCATCTATTTTGCCTTCCACCATCCTGGCAGTCATTTGACATGTTGTGTCCCAAACTACATATTGTATCCCTCAATATTAGTTCCTAAAAGAAATCAATCTAATTTGCTTTGAAAAAATCAACACTTTCGGCTTCCACCATCTCCCAAGGGAGCCAGTTCCATTCGTTTACCACCCACTCATTCAAATAATGTTTCCGCAGATTTGTTTACAATTTCCCCCCCTTCAATCCCAGGCCGTGTCTGTGGTTCTACTATTCTGGACAAGCTTATCATGGTCTGCATTATCCAGTCCCTTTAGAATCTTGAAAATCTTCTTCAATGAAATTATCAGTCAACAAATTTGTGTTTAAAAATGTATGTTGGATGCAGCCTGGCGAACACGTAATCCACAGCAAAAAATGTGCCTTGTGCCCTTGGGGAAGGGAATCATAATTAAAAAATCTTGCCAGTTGACTCCACCTATTTCCCATCAGGAGGATAATTCAAAGTGCTTCACAGGAGTCACTGTAAAGTATAATGACTGTGCATTTGTAAACAAATACAACAGCCAATTTGGACACAGCAAAAATAAGGCACAAAAGTGAATCATCAATTTTATCTGGGAGATTCTTCGTATAATAATAATAAATCTTGCATTTGATATAGTGCCTTATCACATCTTCGAGACGAGTCAAAGCACTTCACAGAATATACTGTAAAGTGAACTGGATTTATATTTTGTGGCGAAATGTGGCAGCCAATTGCACACATCCGCCAATCGACTAAAACCCAATTTCCTACTTACTGCTAGGTAATCAGAGGCGTAGAGTAAGGAGACTTACCCAACGTTTTGCCCTGCCTGGGAATCACACCCGGATCCTCTTACTTGGAGGCGAGCCCACTAATCGCTATGCTACAGGACTCCTTGCATTTGATATAATAATAATAATCCTTGCTTTTGATATAGCACCTTATCACGTGCTTCACAGAATATACTGTAAAGTGAATTCACTATATAATTTGTGGGCGAAACACGGCAGCCAATTGCACACAGCAGCGTCCCACAAACAGTCGTGGATTGAGTGACCAAATTTTTTTTTTTGAAGGGATTATTATCCCTGTATAAGCGATCCACCAATCGACTAACCACCGGGTTCCTATTTACTGCCAGGTAAACAGAGGCGTGTGGCATAAGGTTTTGCCCCTTCCGGGAATCAAACCCAGGTCCTCTCACTTGCGAGACGAGTGCTCTAACCGCTATGCTCCAGGTCTCCATTTTACAACATTGAAACAGTTGATCTTTTTTTTAAAACAAAGTGTAGCTTCAGAGATCTGAGGCCTGAAATTTCCCACGCATTTAGCTTTAAGATCATCGTTTCACAATTGAAGATGGTGCAGATTCTTCTTGAGGGGGAATTCTTAAACTCAGTCTTAATTTTGAAGATGTGCTTCTCAAATAAAACAGGCTTCCAAACTTACAAAGTGTGTAGGCTCAACAAATGCCTTGCAGAATGTTTACCGTTGCAGTATCAAATCTTGCTATAAAGGTGCACTTGCTACACAAATATAACTCATCAGAAGTATTTCCACTGAAAGCAAAAATGCTTCATTTGAATTGTATTTTTGTATCAAAGCTGATCCTTTCAATTCTATTTAATAAAGGCAGCCTTTTAGTTGATGTAGGTGTTTCTGTGATTGCCTGGGGTTGTCACTTCTGATAATATGCTTGTAAAGAGTGATTAGAAGTATAAATGTACCAGGTAAAAAAAAAAGTCTTAAGCCTCCACACTGTATAATCCAGAAACAAGGACTTTCCAAAATTCTACAACCCCCATAAGGCTAATGTCATGGTAAGTTTTGACACTCAAAGGGAACAATCTGGTCAAAATAACAAGTCGCAGGGAACTGAAACTAGCCATAACTTCCTATAATGATACCAAAAGAGCAAAATAAAAAAAACTATTATCATACAAGGGAAAAGAAGAACTGCATCTACGAAGAGGAAATGTTAAATCACAAGATCTGTTTGGATGAAGAATATCCTTCTGCCTATCTGTCTCATCCTTCCAGAACACCCACCCTACAATTCTCCCATCACAGCATCAAAACAGGAACATAGGAACAGGAGTAAGCCGTTCAAGCCCTCGAGCCTGTTCCGCCATTCTATTAGATCATGGCTGATCTGTACCTTAACTCCAAACTACCTGCCTTTGCCCCATATGCCTTGATACCCTGACCTAAAAAAATCTATTCACTCCAGGTTTGAAAATATGAACGGATTTCTCCACAGCTTTTGTGGAGAGAGTTCCAGATTCCCACTGCCTTTTGGGTTAAAAACTGCCTCCTGATTTCACTCCTAAATGGCTTTGCTATCAAGCTGCTTTCCAAATTAATCCCAGTGTCCTGGCCTGGTAAGCGAGAGGTCCCGAGTTTGATTCCTTGACAGGGCGAAACCTTAGGCAACACGACTCTGTTTACCTAGCAGTAACGAGGAACCCTATTGTTGTCACAGAAACATAGGTACAGGAGGAGGCCATTCAGCCCCTCAAGCTTGTTCTGTCATTCTATAAGATCATGGCTGATCTGTACCGCAAGTCCAACTACCCGCCCTAGCACTGTATCCCCGACAAATATCTATCCACCTCAGTCTCGAAAATGTGAATGGATCCAGTCATAATCCATAACCTTTGAGGGGAGAGAGTTCCAGATTCACACTCCCCTTTGGGTGAAAAATTGCCTCCTGATTTCACTCCTGAATGGCCTAGCCCAGCTGCCAAATCTCTTTATACCTCAGATCACCCCTCAACCTTCTAAACTCAATAGTAATAATCCTTGCATTTGATGTAATGCTTTTCATGTCTTCGAGAAAGTGTTCACAGAATATATTGTAAAGTGAATTGACTGTACATCTGTGTGCAATTGGCTGCCGCGTTTCACACACAAAATACATAGTCAATTCACTTTACAGTATATTGTGTGAAGCGCTTTGAGACGTCTCGAAGACGTGATAAGGCGCTGTATCAAATGCAACGATTATTATTATGTCAGAATTTGAAAATAATAATAATTTTGTCACTTCAATCCACGGCTGTGTGTGGGGACGCTGCTGTGCGCAATTCGCTGCCGTGTTTCGCCCACAAAATATACAGTCAATTCACTTTCTGGAATATCCTGTGAAGCGCTTTGAGACGCCTCGAAGCGGTGATAAAGCGCTGCATCAAATGCCAGATTATTATTATTATTATACAACAACAACAATAAGATTCCATTTATAGAGCGCCTTTCATGTCGGGAGGACGTCCCGAGGCGCTGTACAGTAGGGTCAGGATCCGAGCAGTGGGGGAAATGGTCAGGGTGAGGGGAGGGAAGGGAGGGAGCGAGGAGGGGGTAGAGAGTCGAGAGGGGAGGGAAGGGAGGGAGCCAGGAGGGGGGAAATGACCAGCGTGAGGGGAGGGGAGGGAGGGAGCGAGGAGGGGGGAAATGGTCAGGGTGAGGGGAGGGAAGGGAGGGATCGAGGAGTGGGTAGAGAGTCGAGAGTGGAGCTGAAGGCTCGGTCAAAGAGAAAGGTCTTGAGACCGGCCTTGAAGGAGGAAAGGGAGGAAGCAGCGAAGGCACTGGGGGATAGAGTTCCAGAGCCTCGGGGCTGAGAGGCTGAAGGCCCGACCACCGATAGTAGGGCGGTTGAGGCGGGGGTTGTGGAGCAGACCGGAGCCAGAGGAACGGAGGGTACGGCCAGGTAGGTGGGGGGATAGTAGGTCAGAGAGGTAGGAGGGAGCGAGGCCGTGAATGGCCTTGTAGGTGAGGATGAGGATCTTGAATTCGATCCTCTGGGGGATGGGGAGCCAGTGGAGGCGAGCGAGGGCGAGGGTGAGGGCGAGGGCGGGCGAGGGTGGGAGTGAGGGCGAGGGCGAGGGTGGGAGTGATGTGGTCTTGGTGTCTGGTGCGGGACAGTACACGAGCTGCAGAGTTCTGAATGACCTGCAGTGTGGAGGGAGGGCCGGGAAGGCCGCGAGGAGAGAGTTCCCATAGTCCAGCCTTGAGGTGATAAAGGTGTGGACCAGAGTTTCAGCCGCGTGAGGGGTGAGGTAGTGCCGTAGTCTGGCGATGTTCCGGAGGTGATGGAAGGCGGTGCCAGTTGTGGTGCGGATATGAGGGAGAAAGGACAGCTCAGGGTCGAACAGAACCCGAGGTTCCTGATGGCTTTGAGAGGTGGAGAGTGCGGCCTTGGATGCTGATGGTGTCAGCGCCTGAGGTGCGGAGGCGCTGACGTGAGCCAATCAGGAGGGCCTCAGTTTTGCGCACGTTGAGCTGAAGAAAGTTGTCTCTCGTCCAGGACTCGATGTCGGACAGACAGCTGTCAGGACATCGGGGTCGTGGAGTTGAGGGTAGAGGAGGAAAGGTAGAGTTGGGTGTCATCCGCATACATGTGGAAGTTAACCCCATGTCTGCGGATGATGTCACCACAGGGGGAGCATATAGAGGGTGAAGAGGAGGGGACCGAGGACAGAGCCCTGAGGGACACCGCACGAGACAGTGCGGGGGGTGGAGGAAAAGCCATTCGTGGAACAAAGTGAAGACGGTGGGAGAGGTACGACCTAAACCACTCAAGGACAGGGCCTTGAAGGTTGAGGTGGGAGGACAAGCGGTGGAGTAGGATAGCGTGGTCGACCGTATCGAATGCTGCCGATAGGTCGAGGAGGACGAGGAGGCAGAGGGAGCCCTGGTCACAGATGGTCAGGATGTCATTGGTGACCTTGACCAGGGCAGTTTCTGTGCTATGGGCAGCACGGAAACCCGACTGAAGGGGTTCGAATAGTGAATGGGTGGAAAGGAAAGAGCGCAGTTGGGAGGCGACAACTCTTTCCAGGACCTTGGACAGGAAGGGGAGGTTGGAGATGGGCCGGTAGCTTGATAGCTGCGACGCATCAAGGGAGGGTGGGAGTGATGGCGGCAGTTTTTAAGGGAATGGGGACAGAGCCAGAGGAGAGGGACAGGTTGATGATGTCGGTGATATGTGGGGCAAGAAAGTGGAGCTGGGAGATAAGGAGTGGAGTGGGGATGGGGTCAAGGGAGCAGGTGGTTGGTTTTAGGGATAGGATGAGTTTGGTGACAGAGGGTGGGGAAACGGGTACAAAAGTGAGTAGGGGAGGATGGGTAGGAGTCGGAGTGTGGGAGTGAGGGGGTGGGGGGGTTGGTGGATGTTGGAGGGGAAGTGACCGCGGAGCGAATTCCCTTGATCTTGGATTCAAGGAAATCCAGCATCTCCTCGCAGTGAAGGTTGGAGGAGATGACCTGCGCGGGGTGGCGGGGGGGACGGAGGAGTCGGGTTGTGGTAGAAAACAGTAGCCTGGGGTTGTTCTTCGCCTCCAGGATTATCCTGGAGTAGAAGGACGACTTGGCCGAGGCTAGAGTGGAGCGGTAGATTTTGAGGAGGTCCACCCAGATTTGTCGGTGGACCGTTAGGCCAGATTTGAGGCGGGTGCGTTCAGCGCCCACACCTGGCTCTGCAGTGAGCGGAGGTGGGTGGTGAACCGGGGAAGGAACGAGAGTAGGAGACAGTACGGGAGGTGATGGGGGCAAAAGAGGGTCGAGTGTGGAGGAGAGGGTGTTGTGGAGGAGGGTGAGAGGAGAAGAGGGGTCAGTGAGGGAGAGGAGTTCAGAGGAACCAACTGAAACCAGGGGCTGGCGGGTCAAAACCGACATTGACTAAAACTCTGCGCTTTTTTCACTCCCTTCTCTCTCCCTCTCTCCCCCCCCCCTCCCCCCACCTCTCTCCCCCCCACCTCCCCCCCTACCCTCTCTCCGCCCCCTCCCCCCCCTCCCCTCTCCCCCCCCCCCTCCCCCCCCTCCCCCTCAGATTCCCCTGAAGGTGTGACCTTCCCTCGGGGGTTCCCTGTGTCCCGGATCCCGGGGTTTGGCGGATGGAGTGCACTGACCTCTCAGTGTAAGAGCCGCTGCAAAGGCAAAACGGAGAAAGATCCTAATCCGCACCATTTCTGCTTCGGATGGTTTTCTGTGTCTGAGCTCCGGGTCTCCCGGGGCAGGGCCGGGTCTCCCGGGGCAGGGCCGGGTCTCCCGGGGCAGGGCGGGCAGGGCCGGGTCTCCCGGGGCAGGGCCGGGTCTCCCGGGGCAGGGCGGGCAGGGCCGGGTCTCCCGGGGCCGGGCCGGGTCTCCCGGGACAGGGCCGGGTCTCCCGGGGCCGGGCCGGGTCTCCCGGGGCAGGGCCGGGTCTCCCGGGGCAGGGCCGGGTCTCCCGGGACAGGTGGAGTGACTGTTGCGGTCTCACACCTCTGCAGCTTTCCCGGTTGTGTAATGAGGAACTAAAGTCGGTTTTGTTGTTAACCAATTCGTGCGTTCAACATCACAACAAAGATTTGGATGTGAGGAAACTTTTAGAGTTGAACCCAAACATCATTGGGGGTTTAAACCAAAGCTGAACCCGAGGGGTTGACAATTTAATGGCTATTTTAATGTGAGTTGTGATGATGGGGTTTGCAAACCCGAATATTATTGCGTCACTGATGGACTCATTTAAAACATGTTTTTGAAAGCAATTGCTCATCTCTCAGGGAATCAGCAGCATTGGGCAACACTGCAAACTCTCCCCTCCCCTCCCGCTGTCTCCCCGCTGTCTCCCCTCCCCTCCCGCTGTCTCCCCACTGTCTCCCCACTGTCTCCCCTCCCCACCCGCTGTCTCCCCGCTGTCTCCCCACTGTCTCCCCGCTGTCTCCCCTCCCCACCCGCTGTCTCCCCGCTGTCTCCCCTCCCCACCCGCTGTCTCCCCACTGTCTCCCCTCCCCACCCGCTGTCTCCCCACTGTCTCCCCACCCGCTGTCTCCCCGCTGTCTCCCCTCCCCACCCGCTGTCTCCCCACTGTCTCCCCTCCCCACCCGCTGTCTCCCCGCTGTCTCCCCTCCCCACCCGCTGTCTCCCCACTGTCTCCCCTCCCCACCCACTGTCTCCCCGCTGTCTCCCCACCCGCTGTCTCCCCACTGTCTCCCCACCCGCTGTCTCCCCACTGTCTCCCCACCCGCTGTCTCCCCACTGTCTCCCCTCCCCACCCCACTGTCTCCCCACTGTCTCCCCACCCGCTGTCTCCCCACTGTCTCCCCTCCCCACCCACTGTCTCCCCGCTGTCTCTCCCCACCCCACTGTCTCCCCACTGTCTCTCCCCACCCCACTGTCTCCCCTCCCCACCCCACTGTCTCCCCACTGTCTCCCCCTGTCTCCCCGCTGTCTCTCCCCACCCCGCTGTCTCTCCCCACCCCGCTGTCTCTCCCCACCCCGCTGTCTCTCCCCACCCCGCTGTCTCTCCCCACCCCGCTGTCTCCCCCCCCGCTGTCTCCCCGCTGTCTCCCCGCTGTCTCTCCCTGCTGTCCCTACCCCCGCTGTCTCTCCCCGCTGTCTCTCCCCGCTGTCTCCCCGCTGTCTCTCCCCGCTGTCTCTTCCCGCTGTCTCTCCCTGCTGTCCCTACCCCCGCTGTCCCTACCCCCGCTGTCTGTCCCCGCTGTCTCTCCCCGCTGTCTCTCCCCGCTGTCTCTCCCCGCTGTCTCTCCCCGCTGTCTCTCCCCGCTGTCTCTCCCCGCTGTCTCTCCCCGCTGTCTCTCCCCGCTGTCTCTCCCCGCTGTCTCTCCCCGCTGTCTCTCCCCGCTGTCTCACCCCGCTGTCTCCCCGCTGTCTCTCCCCGCTGTCTCTCCCCGCTGTCTCTCCCCGCTGTCTCCCCGCTGTCTCCCCGCTGTCTCTCCCCGCTGTCTCTCCCCGCTGTCTCTCCCCGCTGTCTCTCCCCGCTGTCTCTCCCCGCTGTCTCTCCCCGCTGTCTCTCCCCGCTGTCTCACCCCGCTGTCTCCCCGCTGTCTCTCCCCGCTGTCTCTCCCCGCTGTCTCCCCGCTGTCTCCCCGCTGTCTCTCCCCGCTGTCTCCCCGCTGTCTCTCCCCGCTGTCTCTCCCCGCTGTCTCTCCCCGCTGTCTCACCCCGCTGTCTCTCCCCGCTGTCTCTCCCCGCTGTCTCTCCCCGCTGTCTCCCCGCTGTCTCTCCCCGCTGTCTCTCCCCGCTGTCTCTCCCCGCTGTCTCACCCCGCTGTCTCTCCCCGCTGTCTCTCCCCGCTGTCTCTCCCCGCTGTCTCACCCCTGGGAAACTCAGCATTTAGAATCTAATGCATATTCTGACTGCTCCAAGGAACTACTGTGCTTCTAAAAGGAGTCCTACAGTGGTTAGAGCACTCGCCTCGCAAGCGAAACCTGGGTTCGATTCCCCAAAACGTTAGGCAACTTGCCCTACTCCACACCCCGGTTTACCTTTCAGTAAGAAGGAAACCCACTTGTGAGTCGATTGGCGGATTACTTTTCTGGGGGTAATAATCCCTTCAGAAAAATAAATAAATAATAAACTGGTCACCCAATCCTCGACTGTGGGACGCTGCTGTGCGCCATTGGCTGCCGCGTTTCGCCCACAAGATATACAGTCAATTCACTTCACAGTATATTCTGTGAAGCTCTTTGAGACGTCTTGAAGACGTGAAAAGGCGCTATATCAAATGCAAGGATTACTATTATTATTATAAAAATTGTGCTTGGTGCTTCATGAGTTTCATTTGCCAGGAAGAGTAGCCAAATTGAAGCTGCCTTTTGGTTTCAATTGTGGAATAAGGAACATGCACTTTTTGCGAAGGAAGAACGTCTCAAAGCGTTTCACTGAGTCAATGGGGTTTCACAGGCAGGAAGTAAAAGAGGGTGGAAGGACAAGGAGAGCATTTAAGGCTTTTGAGCAAAGGCACTGCCAAAAATGCGTTTTTTTTTTAAAAAAAGGTTTTGAAAGCAAAGAGGTAGGGCTCGAGACAAAATGGTTTTGGGGGAGAGTTCCGGAGAACGGGCAGAGTGGCTCACTGGCAACGGGACAGAGGGAATGAGGAACAAACAGATTAGAATCAGAACAGCAGCTCTGGGATCTCCAAATTCCTCAGTGATACAGTAACTGCTATGCATCACTGCCTCGTCAAATGCTTTCTCTTTTATTTCCTCCCACTCCCACACATATGAACAGAATTCTGGTGCCATATTTTTATTAACTTTTGCCATATCCTGACGACAATTATTAACCAAATACTGCATGTGCAGTCCTGTAGCTCAGTGGTTAGAGTGCTCGCCTCGCAAGCAAGATGACCCGGGTGTGATTCCCGGGCAGGGCGAAACGTTGAGCGAGTTTCCTACTCGACACACCTCTGTTCACCTGGCAGTAAGTAGGAACCCGATTGTTAGTCAATTGGTGGATCGCTTTTCCGGGGGTAATAATCCCTTCAAAAATAAATAATAATTTGGTTATTTAATGTTAATATGTCAAATACAAGGATTATTATTTTAGGCACAATTTAGTAAAACGGATAAATCTCATTATTAGTCCCATAATCCATCCCCACATCTCACCAGTTCTGGCCCAGGCTCCACTGTCTCCCCATCACTGAACGGATCGACTTCAAGATCCTCACACTCGTGTTCAAATCCCTTCACTCTCTGACACCTCCCGACCTCTCCACTCCCCAATCCACCACCCGACATCTCCGCTCGACTGGCAACGGGCTCCTGCTCGTCCCTCGCACCCTCTGCCCCACCATTGGAGGTCGCGCTTTCAGCCACTACGCCCCGAAACTCTGGAACACTCTCACTCAATCCCTCCGCCTTGCCCCCTCTCTACCCTTTTCCAAATCCCACCTGAAAATCTTCCTTTTCTACGGTCCTTATGGCCACCTCCCCTCACCCCAGCTCAGTCAGGCTCTGCCACTGTTAAATGCTCCGAGACCCTACCCTGCATGGAGGGTGCTATATAAGTGCAAGCTGTTGCTTTTGTTAGTAGTGGTGCCATTTGGTTAGCTAGCACAGAACTGCCCCTATTTCCCATCTTTCTCAGGTTTCCACTGTTCCTGTAAAGGACTTTTATCATTGTGGAGTCCTGTAGTATATTGGTTAGAGCACTTGCCTCGTAAGCGAGAGGATCCGAGCTCGATTCCCGGACAGGGCGAAACATTAGGCAAGTTTCCTTACTCCACATGCCTGTTTACCTACAGTAAGCAGGAACGGTTGTTAGTCGATTGCCGGATCACTTTTCCGGGTATATCTCTTCAAAATAAATAGATAATAAATTGGTCAATCAATCCACGACTCTTTGTGGGATACTGCTGTTCATAATAGGATGACATGTTTCATCCAGAAAATAGTCAATTCACTTTACAGTATATTCTGTGAAGCGCTTTGAGCCATCTCGGAGATGTGATCAGGCGTTGTATAAAATGCAAGGATTATTATTACTCTTGATTGGCTGATTTATTGAGAGAATTTCACATGAACAATGTGCCCAATATACTGCTAACTGGACTTGGCTTCCTCAATTAGGACCTGTGGGAATTCTGTTCAGTGCTTTCCATTTCAGATCATCATCAGGCCTGTGCTTGGAATTATGTTCATCTGGTAACATCAAAATTAAAATGACAATTCTCTATTTCAATCTGAATTCCAGAGTAAAGTAAAACTAATAGTAAGGTTAGTAATTCAAACAAATGGGTCCAATACCATCATGACTCAAATTTGAATTGCTAACTGAAACTCATTCCTAGTCTGATTACACCCTCCATAATGAGGTCCGTCTAATTTATAGGTCAATGCAGCATCAATCTGCAGCGGTAACTTACATTGATAAAGCTCTTCATGCTATATCAAAGCTCGGAGTACCACAGAGCAGAGGTACAGATTCAATTTCTATATTCTTTTGCAATGCTCAACACAACTTCCGAGTAAATAAGGAGAAATTGTTTCCTCTGGTTGGCGGGTGGGTCGGTAACCTGAGGCAAAAGAATCATATCATAGAATTATACAGCACAGAAGGATGCCATTCGGCCCATCGTGTCTGTGCTGGCTCTTTGAAAAGAGCTTCCAAAGAACAAGAGGGAAGATGAGAATTTTTTTAACACAGTGAGTTGTTACGATCTGTTACAAATGCCTGAAAAGCAAATTCAATAATAACTTTCAAAAGGGATTTGAATATTTGCTTAAAAAGAAACAAATTGCAAGGCTATAGGCAAAGAGTGGGGGGAGACAAATTGGATAGCTCTGAGGATTACCATCAGAAGTAAAAAAAAATGGTAGTTTTTTTAATTCCAAGGATTAAATCTAAAACAATCATTGAAATGTCTTTTCCAGTTCCCCAGTTTTATCTTAATACTTAACAAAGTGTCAATCAACACGCTTAATGTTCTTTTGTTTGCGGTATCAACTTTATTTGGAAATTTCAAATTGGGTGTCTTATCTACACTTGTAAACAAAATTGCAAACAAAATCACAATTACATCTTCAGAAAAAAATTGGAGACCAACATTAATTACATCATTGCAGTTTCTTCCTGTTAGTCTAGCAAATTTCTATAATACTGTATATTAGGGCTTTCCAATACTGCCTCAAGAGGAAATAAAGTCTGGAATCATTTCCAAAAATTGTTCGTGGTTTCTCCACATTGATAGAAAACAAATGAACATGCCAGATCCAATACCTTCAATTTAAAGAAATATTGTACCTTAAAATAGTCAGAACTTGATAATTATCAGAAAATTAATTCGGTGCTGAATTTCCTAAAACATATTTCACTATTTTAAGTGTCTTCTTTCTCTCACTCCCTTCTGTTTCCCGGTTTACCAATATGTCCATGATTCCATTCCCTGAAAAATCAGTTATGAAAGTCTGAAATGAAAGAGCAATGACTGGCACGAGTGAAAGACTCACAAAAAGAACAACAAATTTCATTTTTATAGCGCTTTTCACGCCAGGAGGATCTCCTAGGAGGACACACATGATCCTCTGTGAAGTTAGATCCACTGATGGAATTTAAATTGAACAAAATGAGATTTAAAAAAAAACATATATTCTAGGAGGGCAATTTTATCAAATTAGTCACAGAGAAAAGATGGATTCGCTTACAAGCAGGAAATGCAGACTTACTAGAAACAAGATCACAGTACACTGCTTCTTCATTCATAAGTTGCACTTTATTTTATGCATGATACATAAAATATATACAGTGGAAGACACTTAAGCTGGACACTGGTTAATAATATAATAATCCTTGCATTTGATACAGCACCTTATCACATCTTTGAGACGTCTCAAAGAGCTTCAGCGTATATAATGTAAAGTAATTTGACTGTATATTTTGTGGGCGAAACACGGCAACCAAATGCGCACAGCAGTGTCTCACAAACAGTCATGGATTGAGTGACAATTTTTTTTAAGGAATTATTTATAAGTAAATCTTTGAAGGTGGCAGAACAGGTAGATATCAGCACCTTGGGACGTCCTCCTGATGTGAAAGGCGCTGTACAAATGTAATTTTGTTATTGTTGTAGATAAAGTGTTAAAAAAGCATACGGGATACAAATGTACAGTCAATTCACTTTACAGTATATTCTGTGAAGCGCTTTGAGACGTCTAGAAGACGCGAAAAGCGCTATATCAAATGCAAGGATTATTATTTATTTAATATTAAACTTAATAGAAGTTTTCAAAATTATGAGGGGATTCGATTGGGTGAACAAGCAGAAACTATTTCCACTGGCAGGTGGGTCAGTAACCCGAGGACACCGATTTAAAATCGTTGTTAAAAGAAACAGTGGAGGTGAGGAGAAATGTTTTCACACAGCGAGTTGTTGGGATCTGGAATGCGTTGCCTGAAAGGCTCGTGGAAGCCAATTCAATAACAACTCTTAAGAGAGAAAGAGATAATTATTTGGGGACGACAAGTTTGCAGGGCTATGGGGAGAGAGCGGGGAGTGGGATTGATTTGAACAGAGCTCTTTCAAAGAGCCGGCACAGACACGATGGACCGAATGGCCTCGTCGTGTGATGTGTAATTCTATGATTCTATGACACAGGACTCCACAACCTCGGACTCTGGGTAAATCGGACAAGTCGGCCCTGACGTGTCCGGGTTAAGCTGCTTCCACTGTAATTGGAAAGGCACCAAATAAACCAGCTGAAGTAGAAAATTCCAAGCTCCGCAGTTCAAAATTCTACACAGAATGATTCGTAGACAATAGTTATTGTTGTGCAAACTACAGCATGAACAACCATGTGTAAATATTTGCAAATGGCCCATAAACATCCAAACCTACAGCAGAAACTGAAGGGCTGGTAGTAGCTGCCCATTTTCACTGTCTTTGGCACACTTTCACTTAAAAACACAACAACAAATAACATTTACACAGCGCCTTTCACATCAGGAGGACTTCCAAGGCGCTGGACAGCCAGGGATCTGCACATGAGCTGGTAGATGGGATCAGGAGGGGTGGAGGGCGGGAAGGGTAGGGGTAGGAGAGTGACTGAAGGCGCGATCAAAGAAGAGGTCCTTGAACGAGGCAAGATACAATGAGGGAAGTTATAAGGGGCATCAGTCCCAACTGTTAATTCCAATTGGCTGTGGTGACACCAACTTCAGCGTGGACACTGTCCTGCAGGACCACACTGAGAAGGGGTGAAAGGCACTCGTCATGCTCGTCCCTCTTCAAGAATATCAAGATCCAGATGCAGGTCATACAAGATCTGTATGCAAACTGTCCTCCTATATGAGCCTTTGTGGTCCTGGAGATGTAGTAGAGAGGCTTCTTCCAGCCCCTGTTGCTAAGCACCCTGGCCATGGTAGCAGCCTCACAGTTGGCATGTCTAGTGCCAAGGCCCCTCACATGAAGACCTGGGTAGCAGAATTTTCAGATTTATTTTAAGAAATAAAAACGTTCTTGCGTTTTTACCGATTTTACCAAGTAAAGTTGAGTATTGTAGTCATTTCATACAAACCAAAATCCTTTTCAATGTCTCATGTAGTGAGAATGAAAGGTTTGGAGATGCAACAAGTTAGTGGAAACATCACATTTAGTATGGTGAGTCAGAAAGCTCGGAGACCAAAGAATCTGTCCATGTCCTCGATTTGTACAGAGCACAGTGAAATGTTAACAATGTCAATGCCTGCAGCAGCTGAACTGCTCAGTTCAGGATCTGTCAATACCTGACTCTTGGTTTCAGATCCTTCACACTCACTGTGAATTGCTTCTGTTGGAACTATCCGATAGTCATTCGGATGAGTGCAGAACTCCTCAGTGAATTCATCAGTTGGCTGATCATCAAATGGCTTGAAGCTGGCTTCATCTGTTTCTACAGGATTCTCACTATCAGTATTTTTCTGGAATTTTACTGGCAGTGAATGTGGCTCATAACCATCTTCATCATCACTGCTTATTAATTCTGTTCCATTATCTTCCTGGATATTCATTTTATTTTCATTTAAATAATTTAAATTCAATGCTACGTGATCTAAATTACTGATATTTTCTTCCACATCAGAGTAGTTGTAGACATGGCTGACTTGTTTTAAGTTACTCTGAAGAAAAAAATACAATCTATGAAGGTTTTCAAGTTTCTTTTTACACCATAACTAACACAAGCAGGAATGAAAGCATTATATTATGGATCAGATAAATTGTCTGCTGGGTTCATGTACGAGTACAGTCATTACACTTAACAAAAATTGCACGTGAAGCACTTTTGAAATGATATACTTATACTTGATTATACAATCTATACTAATAAAATGATAATGTCTTGTCTGCTTTCCAAGAAGGATCTCAATAACCGATTGACATAGAGACATGGTTTATACCTCATCTGAAAGATCTTGTACCTGGGAGTGACATGCGCATATTTGTTTTCGGGTGTTCCCTATCGTTTATGAGTTATTTTCAGTTTTGCATTTTTCGCTGCAGTTACACCTGGTCGCTGCCAAATCAAAGTACTGCTGTGGCATCATGCTTCACAGAGCACATACGTATGTATGCATTCTTTCCAGTCGGGAAGAGGGCCCTAAGTACTTCACAGGATATGCTGTAAAGTGCACGATACAAAGGAAAACTGTTGTAAAAACAAACATTTCTTTCTATGGCAAATTAAGCTGCCTAATTCTGTATAAAACATGCTTTGAGAAGTGCTGAAAGAACTTATAAACATATTAAGTTTGATTTTAGTTAAAATCTGAATCCAATCATATTAGCAGTAAGTCTTACATACCAGAGATTGTGGGATGTATTTTGTTAAGCAACCCAGAAAACCTCCCTTGCATAGTGTTATGATGAAGATGAGAAGTCCAATACACAGCAGACAAGTAGAAAACAACATCCACAACCAAAGTGATTCTGTAAAAGAAGAGCTGAATTCATAAAACTAAAACAAATTTAAAGATTGGTTTTCATTTCATCAGTTTGCTTTGCACAACAGAGACTTAAGTGTTCTGATCCCGTCCCCAGCTTGGGTCCGAAACACTGATTATCCAGCGGCTTGGGGCATTTTCCCAACATGAACGGTGCTATACAAATATCATTTTGTTGTTGTAAGAGCTGAAGAATTCAGCACAATGTAACACCAAAATAAAATCATGGAGTTAAGAATGAGGTAATCTTAACTATCACATTCGTAATCACAGCCTCATGGTAATTGAGGAAACTGGTAAAATTTTACTGCAAAATACCCATCTCAGTTTAGTCGTAATAAATACAACAACAAAATGACATTTGTATAGCACCTTTCACGTCGGGAGGACGTCCCAAGGCCTGGACAATCAGTGTTTCGGACCCGAGCTGGGGTTGCATTGAGAAGGGTGGAGGGTCCGGGGGGGAAGCAGGATGATCGAAAGCACGGTTGAAGAGGAGGGTCTTGAGATGGGTCTTGAAGGAGGCGAGGGAGGGGGCGAGGCAGAGGGTCCGTGGGATGGAGTTCCAGAGGGTGGGGGCAGAGTGGCAGAAATGGTGGGGTGGGTGAGGTGTGGGACGTTAAGCCAGCCGGAGCCCACTGAGCGGAGGGATTGGGCAGGATGGCAGAGGGTCGCAGAGGTAGGGCGGGGAGCAAAGCCATGGAGGGCTTTGAAGGTGAGGACCAGGATCTTGAACTGTATCCTCTGTTTGATGGGAAGCCAGTGGAGGGAGGAGTTGGGGAGGCCGACAAGCGACGAGTTTGCATAGTCAAGCTTCATGTTATGAATGCATGTATGAGGGTTTTGGTGACTTGTGGTGTGACACAGTGGCGGAGCCAGGCGAAGTTGCAGAGGTGGGGGAAGGCAGAGCGGGTCATGGCACGGATGTGGTGTAGAAAGGATAGTTGAGGATCAAACAAAATGCCAAGGTTCTGAACTGACTTAGAAATGGATGGTGATGCTGTCAGTGCCTGAGGTGTGGAGGCACTGATAATAATATAATAATCCTTGCATTTGATATAGCTTTTCACATCTTCTAGACATCTCAAAGAGCTTCACAGAATAGACTGTAAAGTAAATTGTATATTTGTGGGCGAAAAGCTGATGGGAGACAATCAGTGAGCCTCGGTCTTGTTGATGTTCAACTGAAGAAAGTTAGCTCTCATCCAGGACTTGATATCTGACAGACATTCTGTCAGGACAGCAGTGGGTCCTGGAGTCAAGGTTGTTGGCAGAGAGGTACGGTTGGGTGTCATCCACATACATGTGGAAGTTGACTCCATGTCTACATGTCATCAACAGGGAACATATAGATATTGAAGAGGAGGGAATCAAGGACAGAGCACTGAGGAACGCCGCACAAAACGGTTCGGGGCTAAAGGAATAACCATTAGTGGGGTTGAAGTAGAGGCGGTGTGAGAGGTACGATCTGAACCAATCAAGGACGAAACCGGGAAGGTTGAGGTGAGAGGAGAGGCGGTGGATTAGGATAGAGTGATCAACTGTGTCGAAGGCAGCAGAGAGGTCAAGGAGGATGAGGAAGCAGAGGAAGCCCTGGTCACAGGCGGACAGAATGTCATTTGTCACTTTTGACCAGGGCTGTTTCTGTGCTATGGATGGCACGGAAACCCGTTTGGAGGGGTTCGTGAAAGGAGTGGCGGAAGAGGAAGGAGCGAAGCTGGGAAGCAATGACTCGTTCCAGGATCTTGGAGAGGAATGCAAAGTTGGAGATGGGGCGGTAGATTGAGACCAGGAATGGGTCCAAGGAGGGTTTTATAAGGGTAGGAGTATTGACGGCCATTTGTAAAGGAGTGGGAATGGGAAGGGTACAAGTGGACAGGGAGAGGTTTATGATGTCTGTAAGTAGATGGGCAAGGAGGTGGAGCTGGGAGATAAGGAGAGGGGTGGGGATGGGATCGAGGGAGCAGGTGGTTGGTTTCATGCGGGTTATAGTGGTGGTGAGAGAGGAGACAAGTTCGAAGAGTGGAGGGAGAGATGGGTTGGGCTGGGGTAAGAGAGAGATGGGGAAGAGGTAGTAGACAGAAGGACCGAGGGATATCCTCGACTTTGGATTCGAGGAAGTCCAACATCGCCTTGCAGTTGGCATTGGACGTGAGGATGGGCGAGGCATGAGAGGGTGGGCTGAGGAGCCGGTTGGTGATGGAGAAGAGCCTGGGGTTGTCCTTGGCCTCCAAGATTGTCTTGGAGTAGAACGACGATTTAGTGGAGGCGAGGGCAGAGCAGTAGAATTTGATAAGGTTCAGCCAGATCTGCCGATGGACCGTTAGGTTCGATTTAAGACAGGTGCATTCAGCGGCACACACCTGTGCTTTAAGGGAGCGGAGGTAATAAATGTAATAAAAGCAGATTGAGTCCAGAGAGCTCAAGACATTATACCCACAATGTCCTTCTCAGTGTGTGTGACTATATATCACATCTAATTTCTGAGGGATCATAAGGCTTTTCAGGCATGACCTAAAGATGGGGCAGGAAGAAGGCGGAGGGATAAAAGAAAAGTATTCCAGAGTTTTGGGACATAGTGGCTGAAAGTGAAGCCACCGATGGTGGAACGGAGGATATGAGGAACATGCAGGAACTTAACAAACAAGACAGCAAGATTGAGTCTAGGAAGCTGAAGACATTATTCAATACCTCCACTGTCCATCACAGGGTGTGTGACTATACATCTCTTTTCCGAGGGATTAGAAGGCTTTTCGTTAGAAGAAAATATTTTGATGGTGACACAGTAATTTGTGCTGGCTTCTACATCTTCAACTATTTTTGATACACTCTGTTCATCAGTTGAGCCTTGCAGATCTCTGTGCTGATAGAGAAGAAAATAGAAGTGATGTAATTTTCATATATCTAGTGAAATTCTACAGCTAAATTTATCACATATTCCATAATAATGTTTGTGTGTTTTGCACACTGGCTTTTACTCTCAGTGGCGGCTAGAAACATTCAAGCAGATATTAAACGGGGATTAGACTAAAGGTTGTTTTCTGCATTTAAAATCTTTAACCCTCTACACAGAAACAGACATAATACATGCTAGAACACATTATCTGCACACCTCCCTGAAGTAGATAATAATAATCTTGCATTTGATATAGCGCCTGATCACGTCTTCGAGACGTCTCAAAGTGCTTCACAGAATATACTGTGAAGTGAATGGACTGTATACTTTGTGGGCGACACGTGGTACAGCAGTGTCTTACAAACAGTCGTGGATTCAGTGAACAATTTTTTCTTTTTTAATATACCTTATTTTATATATGTGTATTCCCTTGCTGGCCTCCATGTAATCCCTTGCTAGAGCCAGTTAATGTCCCAACCACCATCCTGACCGAGATCAAATTAAATTAGGATTTAGATACCTTAAGATCTGTGTCTGGATACCAAGCAAGGTCATCATAGGAGCTAGAATTTTTAAATCAAATATACAAACATGCTCTACCAATAAGTTAAGCATATATTTATTAAGCTACTGCTTTTTAAATAAAATAATTAAACTGTACCTCTTCTATTGTTCCATTTCTCGCTATGATAATGTGATACTTCCATTGCCCAAAGATATCCAATAAAGAATCAATTCCTCCATTTTTAATAATGGTCGGTGGTGTGGCAAAATCAAAATTAATTTTAAAAGCTCCCCTGCTTCCTACGAGATGAACATTGACTGGACGTAGATTTGCTGTAGAAGAAAATAAAAATAAGTTACAGTATTAGATTTGTGTTAGAAACATCCTTATTATTAATAATAATCCTTGCATTTGATGTAGAGACATCTCAAATTTATAAAAATAAGGGTTTTTATCTATCTTATTTCTGACAATTCTTATTTATGGTCTTAAAGGTGAGGACGAGGATCTTGAATTCGATTCTCTTGGGGATGGGGAGCCAGTGGAATCGAGCAAGGGTGGGAGTGATGGGGTCACGAAGCCTGGTGCGTGAGAGTACAGGAGCTGCAGAGTTTTGAATGATCTGAGGCTTGTGAAGGGAAGGCCGATGAGGGAGGAGTTCCCGTAGTCGAGCCTTGATGTGATCAGAATGATCAGAATGGATGTATTAAGGGATATGCCAAAAGAGTGGGTTCTGAGATTATAAAATCTGCCATTATCGAATAAACTTGTGGACCAGGCTCGATAGGCTGAATGGCCTCCTCCTGTTCCTGTTTTTCCTGTATTCCAATACCAATTAAGGAAGACATCAAGGTCTGAATATACAAGCCTTGTAATATTTTGCAGCAGTTGATGCTGGAATCAAGCCCGAGACCCAGCAAAGGCAAAGGAACCCTTCCACATGCATGTATAGGACAACTGAACCATCAATGCGGGATATTTAGACATGTGTCTAATACACCATAGTTGTATTGTGGTGCATAAAAACCTGCACCGGAACTTTGTTGTCATTGAAGAGAGATGAGAACAACCATTCTCCATTTGGGTCAGAACGGCAGCATCCAAGCAAAAGTTGGTGTCAAGCACAATCCCATATACCAATATGAATCGACAAATGGAACACATCTTCTAATCAATATGTTCAAGCTCTTCTTTTGAGCATAAGACCACACTTGGGAACAACCACTACCATATCCATTAAATAGCGCAGGGTTGAAGATTAGCTTTTTTTTCTTTCAGTACACCAGTGGTAAGTCTCTTTTTTCCAGTAACAATAACAATCATGATAACAAACAAGCTTACTGTCCCGCCGGGGCTGAAAATCTTCTGTTATCGTCCAATTAGACTCTTCAGCTTCTGTAATTGCTTTAACTCGAACAAAGAATATAGCGGAAAAGTCTCCAAATTCATTCGTTAAATTACACATTTGGGTGCTGATGTGAGAGCAATTTTGTGTTGCTTGCCATACTTCCCCATTGCTATGAGAAACAAAAATAACTTTTTTTAAAAAATCTTTACAGTACATCAGATAATAATAATCCTTGCATTTGATATATCACATTATCAAGTCGTTGAGAGGTATCAAAGAGCTAATAGAATATACTGTAAAGTGAACTGAATATATATTTTGTGGATGAAAAGTGGCAGCCAATTGCGCACAACAGTGTCCCACAAACAGTGACCTTTATTTGAAGGGATTATTACCCCCGGAAACCGATCCGCCAATCGACTAATATAACAACAATATAATCCTTGCATTTAATATAGCGTTTGTCACGTCTCCTAGACGTCTCAAAGCGCTTAACAGAATACACTGTAAAGTGAATTGACCGTATATTTGTGGGCGAAATGTGGCAGCCAATTGCGCACAACAGTGGCAAATAGGATTGAAAATGACCAATTTATTATTGTTTTTTGTTTTGGAGGGATTATTATTAGGCGTGTAGAGTAAGTAAACTTGCCCAAGGTTTCGCCCTGCCTGGAATTGAACCCAGGTATCTTGCTTGAAAGGCGAGGGCTCTAACCACTGAGCTACAGGACTCCACGAACAACCTAGACTCTAACACACTGTAAGTGTGTTGTATGAAAATCTTGACGACTCTCTTATCAACTTATCCCTGGATAGATAAACATTTTCCAATAGATGTGCAACTTGACTTGAATATTAACCTTTTTTTATATTAAAACATTGTGTCTATGAGTATGCTTAACAGAGACTTTTAGAACTGAAAGTGTTAGATCATAGAAAAAGGCCATTCAGATCATTAAATCTGCTCCTGCATTTTTTTTCTCCACATGAGCCACCCAGTCGAATGACACAAGTAACAGTTTCTGACTCCTACCCTATAGCCTTAGAGAATACCATGTTGTTAACATTTACACTTGCTTCAAAATCAGATATTCAGGCTTTAAATGGGACTGAGAAAGTGAACCCAGAACAGTACTTTCGGATGCACCAACAGAACAAGACAACACATATTTAGGATTGCAAAGGGCAATTTCAGGAAAGGCGTCAGAAAATAATTACCCTCTAGGTAAAGAAATATCCACTGAATCACGGTTACCAGAAAAGATGGTTGCGGCCCTAGTCCTGGATTCATCAAAAAAAAAGAACAGGTCAACGCTATGAAGAAAGGATGAGGTCAAATTGGCCAAAGTGACTTCTTTACCTAAACCAATCTTGTGAAATCCAAATAACTACAATTATTGTTGGGATATAAATATCACTCTATATAAATATTACAAAGATGGCTCCCTCCCAAACAGAAGTTACCTTCTGGGCTGCTCCAGATTGATTAAACATTTGGAAATACAGTAAACAGAAATTGCCTTGTAAAGTGGGGACAAAATTATAGAAAACATACTTAAAATACATATATTCCACTGTGTAGTTTGTAGCAACTGAACCAGGGTCCCCGGCTTCCCACTTCAGAGCATGCTGAAAGTTTTCAGACACAAATGACACATTGCAAGGTGGCGGCAGGTCAGCTGTCCCTGAAAGCAGAACGTTTATATTAACCGTTGGCACAAATATCAGATAGCATTTCATGTACTCGCGAGTAAGCTACGCAAAAGCACTTTCCAATGTCCTCCCTTTCTTTATTAACTTGATAGTAAAGAGATATAAAGGCAAAATGGACTGTGTTTTGCATTGGCTACTACTTTAGTGACTATACAAATGTTATTTTGTTGTTGTTGTGACATTATGTCATGGAGAAGGACTGGAGGGGCTCTATTGAGCTTCAGACTCTCTGGGAATCCATCAGGGGAAGCTCGTCTCTGAGAAAGATCAGTACAGCAGGCAACTAACTCTTACCTACCAGAGCTAAAAAGCTGATGAAGGTACAAGAGACCAAGTACTTCAAACATTCTGTCAGCAGTGAACATAGCAGTTTTGGTGCTCTCAGTTCTCAATTTTGAACTCTGAAACAAAACAAAGTCTATTAGTAACTGGATTTGGTGATACGGTTATAAAATATCATATTATTTCTGTTCAAACTCGTTTTTAGTGCTGCTCGAAAATTGTTTTGCTTTTAAAAAAATACTTTATTTGAAAATAACGAGACGTTATCCTAAATAAAAGGAGGTCTGTAACTGCAAGTTGTTGAAAAACAATACTATCAAAGTTATGAATCCCATATTCAATGTACCTTTATATAGCATCAATTAATATCTTAAAATGCTTACAGAACACAAACAAATTTGTCGATCCTACAATTTAATCTCATTTAATCTTTTTAGGCACAATCCCAAACTGATTACACTTTGAGAACATTTTCACTTTAACATCCTTCATTATCAGTGAGCACGATTTTCATCTGTGCCTTGCTAGAAAAGGATAATAAATCCGTCCTATCAACCGTTGAAGGTACTGAAAGGGTGAAGGAATAAATCATAACGCTATATATAAAAGCACCTTACTGCACTTTTCTCATGCTCTCCTGGGTGCCAGCAGTATTTTGGATTTGTCATCTTTGTCTTATAGTTTATTAAATTAATAAAACCCTTATGCTTACAGGTAAAACAAAACACCCACGCATCAATCTTAGATGCTTTTTCTTCCCCTATAAGAAAGATGCGCTTCTAGCTACCTTCAACTATTCACTCCTTGGCTGTTTGGGGGGCTCTGCTGTGCCCAAAATTGCTTGTTGCTTTTCACCCACAAAATAAACAATCAAACCACCTGACAGCATATCCTGCGAAGAGTTTAGAGACATGTCAGTAATGTGATAGGGAGCTATAAGAACAATAGTTTGTGGGCTGTTTGTGGGACGCTGCGATGTGCAATTGGCTGCCGAGTTTAGCCCACAAAATATACAGTCAATTCACTTTACAGTATATTCTATTAAGTGATTTCAGACATTTCAACAACATGATAATGTGCTACATCAAATGTAAGGATTATTCTAATTAATTATTATTGATAATAGCGTAGTGGTTAGCGTAATTACTAATAAATACAGCAAAATTGAACCCCTTGTTAAATTGAAAGGCCATGTGTCAACTGCAATATAAAGCAAAGGTCTACAGAGCCTGGTACAAAAAATGATTTTCAATTGCAAATTTATGTAAGAATTTTTCGATCATATGTAGTCCTAATATTGTAATACCTTGGGTTGGTATTGGTGGGTTGGTGCGTACCACCGAACAAATCTTAGCTAAGGAAACTGGCAACGCTGTTGATTATGATCTCTTGTGTTATTCTGAGAATCCAAGAAAGTGTTGATATCTACCAATAACAACTTGCACTTGAGCAGCGCCTCTTACGCATGTCTCAAAGCACTTTATTAATAATAATCCTTGCATCTGATATAGTATCTTATCACATCTTCTCAAAGAGCTTCACAGAATATACTGTAAAGTGAAGTGACTGTATATTTTGTGGGTGAAACGGGGCAGCCAATTGCACACAGCAGTGTCCCACAAACAGCATTGGATTGGGTGACCAAATTAATTTTTTTTAAAAAAAGGAATTATTACCCCCAGAAAAGACGTGATAAGGTGCATATCAAATGCAAGGATTATTATTATTGCTTTTTTATAGTGTGGGGCAGCATCTCAGAGCGCTTTATAACATCAGAGCCTGCCACGGAGTAAGGCGGTCGATGAGGAAGTGGGTCTGAAAATGGGTAAGGTGGGGGCAAGGCGAGTGATCGAGGGAGAGATTTCCAAAGTTTTGGGGCGTAGTGGCTGAAAGGGCGGCCGCCAATGGTGGGACAGAGGGGATGAGGGACAAGCAGGAGGCTGGAGCCAGCTGAGCGAAGCAAGCAATCAACCGCCTGGAGTACTTATAATTATTATTATAGACGCTCCTCTAGCTGCCTTCTGCCATTCACTCCGCGGCTGATGGCAGGGCGCAAAACTGTCCACAAGATAGTTTGTTCGCCCACAAAACACGCGGAGCAGTCACTGCACTTTACACTTCAGAATCCCATAGCGTAGTGGTTAGCTCTTGCTCGCAAGCGAGAGAGAGAGAGAGAGAGAGGAGACCCGGGTTCGATTCCCGGGATGGGGCGGAACCTCAGGCAAGTTAAGTCGCTTTCCGGATCGTAATAATCCCTCCAACAAAAACGTTTGATCGCTCAATCGTCAGAGGTTTAGGGCACACACCTCGCAAGCGAGCGACGTGGATTCGACTCCCGGGGCAGGGCCAAACACTGGGCAAGTTTCCTTACCCCACGCGCCTGCCCGCCGGCGGTTACCCAGTGGCTCTTCCTGTGGCGACGATTCTTTCCAGAAAGAAATAAAAAATAATTCGGCGGCGGCCGTTGGCGGGGAGGCGAGCCCCGGCGCCCGGTCCAGCTGCCGCCTTTTGCCCACAAAAACACACGTCTGTGCGCTCGCCACAGCGTTAGCCCGTGAAGCGCTTCCAGGCGTCTCAATGGCGTAATGAGGCGCTGTATCAAATGCGAGGACGATGATTATCATTATTATTATTATACATGTGTATATACTGTGAAAACCGGCGAAGCGCCTCCAGACGTTTCAACCAGGGAACGGGGGGGAGGGGTGAGGGGGGGGGGGGGGGGGCGAGGATTAAACTTCATGTGTATCTATAGATAAATAATATAATATGTCGATGTATCACTTACTTCCTCCTTATTAATCAATAACGAGAGCCGAGGCACTCCGGAATGACCCACCCGCCCCACCATTGGCGGGAGAGCCTTCAGCCACTCTGCCCCCACCTCTGGAATTCCATCACCCGATCACTTTGCCTCGCCCCCTCTTTAGCCTCCTTCAAGTCCCACCTCAAGACCCTCATCTTCGACCATGCCATCAGCCTCACCCCCCTTCTCCTCCCCTCCCTGCTCCCCCTCTGACCAGATCTGGAATACTGTACACTGTCCAGTGCCTTGGGACCTTCTCCCGATTTGAAAGGCACTATACAAATGTAATCTTATTGTTGTTGCAAAATTATTCAATGGATATGCACAAAGCAATGTTGAGGAATATTAGCGGTAGAGACTACTTTGACTTTCATAGAATCATAGAATTATATAGCACAGAAGGAGGCCATTTGTGCCGGCTCTTTGAAAAGAGCTATCCATGACCCACCCGCCCCACCATTGGCGGGAGAGCCTTCAGCCACTCTGCCCCCACCTCTGGAATTCCATCACCCGATCACTTTGCCTCGCCCCCTCTTTAGCCTCCTTCAAGTCCCACCTCAAGACCCTCATCTTCGACCATGCCATCAGCCTCACCCCCCTTCTCCTCCCCTCCCTGCTCCCCCTCTGACCAGATCTGGAATACTGTACACTGTCCAGTGCCTTGGGACCTTCTCCCGATTTGAAAGGCACTATACAAATGTAATCTTATTGTTGTTGCAAAATTATTCAATGGATATGCACAAAGCAATGTTGAGGAATATTAGCGGTAGAGACTACTTTGACTTTCATAGAATCATAGAATTATATAGCACAGAAGGAGGCCATTTGTGCCGGCTCTTTGAAAAGAGCTATCCA